CAGCTACTGAACGCTCAAACTCATTCCTCGTCTCTGTTTTCTGGTTTGAGAGCTACACTTCTATTTTAGCCTTGTTATTTTCTGTAGTTCAGATGAGATAGTGGGTTGCTACTCAGGTCGGAAAATCTGAGTGTTCTTAACTTTGACCTAGAAGAGATCAATTTTGAACCAACATGTGAAGTTGGTACCTGGATCTGTGGAAAGCTGTGAATGTTTCTCATTGTGTGTGAAGGGAAAGAGGATCCTGGGGGAATCACTAACAGGAATAACCTATACCACCAGGGAACCCATTCCATGAGCTGGAAGAGAACTCTAGAACTCCATCAGTGAAGTGTGTCAGACTCCAAGAGGCAACCCACAGTCCTTTGTTGCTGTTTTGTAGCCTGTTCTAGTCTTGACCTGGGCTTACATAGGTCCTGAGCCAAGAGGGGACTTTTAGACCCAAGGATCTCTTTCCTTGCTAAAAATGAAAGCCCACCCTTCATTTTACATTCCTTTTAATCCAACTGATAAAAATTCCCATATCTGCTCTTTTCCCCTCTCTCTAGGATGCTCCCCTCTAAGAAAGTAACAACAAAGCTTTCTTAACTTTGGGCCTGTTCTGTTGCTCTGCCTTATTTCTTTTTCAACTCTGTACTTGACTTGTGTTTGCCATCCCTTTGGTCAGTGTCCATCTGCTGATTTGCATCATGAACTGGACAGTGTGTAAGTGGTCACCGCCTAACCCCAACTTGGGGAGCTGAGCTGTCTTCTCCATCTCTGGTGCTCCTGACACCTGTGAGATGGTCCTGTCAAGAGGACTAGGAACCAATAGGACGAAGTCCTCCACAGAGCTCACTGCAGTCGACTGGAATTGAGGTTGCACACTGTGATTTTACACCCAAAAGCCAAAAGGAGCTGGCCACCCACAGCCTAAGGAGACCAGCCTTCCTCAGATATGCTTGCCGAAACCAACATGATGCTCACAAGAACCCCGCTCTGCCCTTGTGGCATGGATCCTTTTCCTGGTGTGGACTCTGAAGGGTCAGTCTTTGCAGTAGAGAGGTGTAGTGGGGCTTCCCGCATCCCAATCTGGAAAATCGAGGAGTTTGCCACCAACAGCCTGTAAACTGGAAACACTGGTCTCAGTCAACCTCCTCAGGGCGCCCTGGTTTCTCCCCAAGAAAACGAGCAATGACGCCAGCATCAGGATGAGCAGACCACTGGAAGGGCTGGTGTACATGGACTTCAGTTTAGAAGAAAATTAGATCTTCCAGGGAATTGCAATGTGTGGCGTCCAACTTGTATGTCACGTTTGTGTAAAATGGTATATTCTTTAAAATAGTGTTGATAACTGGAATATTGTATGCTTGGAGATGCTTTGTGTGAACCTAAGACTGTCAGTCAACATGCTGGATTGGGGAAAATCCAAAGCACAACTTCAAAATAAAATACATTTTTAGGTTTTGATGCTGCTATTCCTATCCCTTCTCCGCTCCCTAAAATTCTCTGCTTCAGGAGACCAGCTGCCCAGAAGGGATCTTGATTCGTCCATGCTAGCAGAGCCCTGCCTGGCAACAGGAGTGAGCTGACCTGAGAGCCAGCCACCTTCTCCGTCTCCCACCAGGGCCCACAAGAGTTGCATTTAGAATGTGGGTTTCTTCCCCTCAGCGTTCCATTTCTCCATGTGTGGAACCTAGGAGGTAGGTGTTGTAGAAAGTCTTCTGGTACAGCATTGGCCAGTCTGTTGCCATGAGAACCACCATTTCCTTCATGGAATCCACCCTGTTTTCGGTGAGGACTGTTCTGGTTTCTATTTTTACTCAGATTTCCCCACTTGGAAGAGTGAGGCCTAAGGAGTTGATTGGAACTGTTGCCAGCTATAACTAAGGGTAGCTGGAGGTTCTTTATCTTCCACAAACAGAGTCCCGACTCATTCCAGCATCTAGGACAAGGGTTGACTGACATGCTTTGGTGGAGGTGGGGGACACGGGATGTGTTCTTTCAGATTTTCACTGGGGGTGTGAATTTAGCATTATTTAAATGTTTATACCCATAGTTATTTGTGGGATTTTTTGTTGTTGTTGTTGAGTGTTTTTTATTTTTAGGAGGTGGTGTTTAGTTGGGGATTTTTGGTTGTTTCTGGTTTATTTTGTTTGAGACAGGATCTAGCAATGTAGCCCAGTCTTCCTAGAACTCATAATCTGCCTGCCTTAGCCTTTTGACTGTTGAGATTACAGGCAGAAAGTTTTGTTTTACTCGAGAATTAACCCTGGCATGTTACATGTGACAAAGACTCAGTCATTTAGTTAATTAACAAGCTTTAAGCCTCTCTGTGCAAGCACTGTCATACAGTATTGAACAGAAGAAACAGGTAATAGAGATTTCTTTCCAGTCAGAGGACAGACAAGCAAAATAAGTATGAATCTGAAAATGAAACAATGTAACAAGATAGTGAGTGCTGGAGTTGGTCAAAAAAAGGACAGTTTATGGAGCTGGGCATGGTGGTGCACCACCACAATCCCAGCTATTCAGGAGGCTGAAGCAGGAGAATCTCAAGTTCAAGGCCAACCTTGGCAACATAATGAGAGCCCCCCCCGTCCCAAAAACAAAGGGGGGTGTGCATTATGTTGGTAAGGAATGGTGCAGTAAATCAAGAGTTCTGCTTGGGCTGACAGTGCTGAGACGAGAGTTATCCAAGTGGAAATACCAAATACACTCTTGGGTATATGTCAGGTGTTTGGGGGAGAGCGTCTACCAGAAAACAAGCTTAGTTGTTGTTCCATTGTACATGTATACAAACAGATTCCCAGAAAGATGAAGAAATGGAAAAGGGAGCTGGTTCCAATGAAGAGAAATCCAGCAGAGGATCTAGCAGAGAGGGATCAACCATTGAAAGACAAATGCCAGCAGGGTAAAATGAGGCTGGTGTGGAAAACTAAGCACTGTCCTCTAACCTGGTCAAGAGCATTTCAGTAGAGGGAAAATGAGTCCTCTGGAGTTGGTTAGGCAGCAAAAAAGGGAAGAAGAGTTGGTAACTCAGCTGCTCAGTGAGTGGGGAGCATCCAAAGAGGTCGGAGGACCAGGTTTTGTTCTTAGAGTTGAGGCCCCTTCGCATTTGCTTTGTGGGCAGGACCCAGCAGAATGAGAGGAAGGACACCTTTGGATGCCACTACCACTTCTATGACTCTCTGAATTCACTTTGGAAGATGAGAAGCCTTGAGCAGACTTCCTCTGCCCTCCAGGAGCCTCTAGGCCCCTGCACCTCCTCAGACAAAACACTGGCTGTGCTGCCCAGTTGGGACACAGGCAGGACAGTCCTTCCTTTGGTTCACACTGAGGATGCCCAGTGAAGCTCTATCTGTCACCAGTCCACCTCTACCTTGTCCCCTTTCTCTAGCCTTTACCAAGTATGGTGTTCTGAACAAGTGACATTCTTATGCTTCTGTGCCCTCTGCATGTGTCCCTTCTGCCTCCAATTCCTACCTCCAACTCCCTCTTCTCTAACTAACTCCCCTTTCCAAAGTCATTTTGAGCAAGCCCTTCTTGACTGCCCACTGCCCCCCACCAGCATCCACAAAATCTCCATGTGCTACAGTGTGTGTCTCTGTCCTAGGCCCCAGAGCCTTCCTATCTTGAACCCAGAGCACCTGCTTCCATGGGAAGACCTAGACACCTGGTGTGTCTGTTGTCATTTGAAGGCATGAAAGTCACTGGGAAAGAAAGATTGGGCTTGTTGGAGAGAGGTACATCAGGGGGAAATAAGTAACAACTGGTGATAGGTCAGGTGATATTGCAAACCCAAGTGGTCCAAAACAACAGATTGACTTCTAATGGCCCTATGGACCAGTAGGGGACACCCTGCTTGTGAAAGTTACTTAGGGACCCAGTCTGATGGCTCCAGAGGGCAGGAGCTCTGGGGGGATCTTGCAACAGCAACCAAATGCTTTGTTTGGGAAACAACATGCTTTCCCCGCCCCGATCCCAGGGTGCCAAGGAAATGCAATTTTCTCATGTGTCCTGCAAGTGGAAAGCTGGAACCCTAGAGCGGAGCATGAGGCTCTCAGGGACATCTCTCCTGGCCCTGCTGTGAGAACCACAGCTGCCATGTTTCCATCAGGTGAATCTTTCTGAGCAGGAGGCAGTGAACTTAGCTCCTGTTTGCTCCTCACTGTGGTAGGGGTGGGGCTGGCGGAGGAAACCACCAGGTGTGGCCATGGGAAAGTCCCTCCAACATTCTGTAGAAACATGGAATTTCCTGGTTTTAACTATTGCTTATCCAACTGCCAGCTCCAAGCTCACCAGAGCAGCACAGACCTCTCTAGCCTCCCAGGACATTTGATGCACTGGGTTCTGGCTGGACAGGTGGGAGGCACACCTGGCTTCCAGCCCCAGGAATTTCTGAAAATCATTGGCAGATTACGAAAGATGTGTTGGCCTCAATGTCTTCGATGTTGGTCTGTGAAACACTTTCCAGTCTCCCAAGCTTTTCCAGATACTGTCTTCCCTGCCATCCATACAACCCAAGCAGAGCAACTACCCTCTGCTGTGGATCAGAAAGCTGGCTGGGAGGAGCTGTGTGCTGTGCTCAAGGTCACACATGACCCTTGAGCACTGGATTCCAGTGCTTGCTCTTGGGTCTCAGTGGGCTCAAGGGAAGGTGAGACACAGGGCCTGGGCCTTCTCCAGGACTCTTGGGTCTTTCCAGACAGCTCTCCACTTAGTTAACTCGCCCAACCTGCTTGGCTGACTCCAGGCAGAGTTCTGAAGTTCCCTGCTCTGGTGGACTATGGGAGATGCCAAAAGAGCACCCAGCAGTCTGCCACAGAAGCTTGGACCACAGCTTCTTGTGGCTCAGACTCTGGTCTTTTGGCCTCTGCTTGAGAACTCACAATATCCTCTTTCCTCTTCCTGCTAGGGTGGTGGCAGCTGCAGAGTGGCCTGTCTCTTTAAGAGAGAGAGAGAGAGGGAGAGAGGTGAGGAGAGAGAGAAGGAAATCAGGAAGTATGAGAGAGCTAAGAGCCAGGGCTCTGCTAGGCTGGGTACTCCACTGCCGGCAGCAGCGAGAAGGCTGGGAAGAAACCCTCTAACCCCAGCTCCCAGGGTAGCACAAGGCCATTTTGACTAGCCCTGCCTGTGGGTCCCAGGGAACCGTGCCTACCAGGATGCGCTGGGCACTGCCCGTGAATGACCTGGAGGCCTGAACGCTCTGGTAGGGGAACCTTCCAGTCCTACAAGCCAAAAGCCCCTGCAGCCGAGATGGGGTGAGTGCTCAGTGCTGGGCGGGGAGGGTGGCATGGGAGAGCCAGGCTTAGGGGCAGCTGTAGGGCAGCATTCAGCTGAGTATCAGCCGGGGACGGCAAGTCAGCAATAGCAGCAGCTGCCCCCACCTAGCACCCCCATCTTGTGTCTCAGTGACTTTTGGGGGCCAGGTGGTGTCCTACACTCTTTCTGTGTTGAAAGGACTATTATTTGGAGGCCAGCAAGGGACAGGAAGAGAGTCATGGCATACAGGAGAGCTACCTCGGCCACCAATGCCCACCTCGTGGGCTCTGCTTCCCAGTACTCTGGAGCCTGGGCCTCCAGTGCCTGCCCACATCTCTGCCTGGGATCTTCTCCCTGGCTGGAGTCCCATGAGCAGGAGTAGCCAGGAAAGGCTCCAGGAACAGCTGGGGAATAGGGCTGGAAACACCCAGCCCCTTCCCCGCCCCCAGCCCTATGAGGGAAGTCACAAACAGGAAAGGGTTAAAGGGCTGGGGCTGGTGGCCTTTGATGAGGACTAGAATCAAACATCACCAAGGGAGCTTCTTACCCACCCTTCTCTTTCCGGTGCAGCTCAGCTCTTGGACTTGCCCCAGACAGAAAGCATAACACACAGTCACCAGGGAGAGTCACTGCCTGATTCAGGGTCACTCGGAGCATAGGGTAAGTGCAGCTGGCCATAGAAACACCCCCAAGGAGGGCGGGGTGGGGGGGTCAGCTCACAGCTTCATTCATTCACTCATTCATCCAACTGCTCACTGTAGGCTTCTCAGTGCACAGGTGCTGGAGCGGGAGGGGAGGGGACTAGAGAACGCAGAGGTAAGCCAGATGTGCCATGATCAAGCTCCTAGGCATGGAACCCGGGAGTTCATTGCCCCCTGGGGCTCTGACCTGTGCACCACACTTCCCCTCGCCGCGGTCTTCTCCGTGCTCTGCCCCAGCACCATTATGAAAGGAGTATAATCTGTTGCTCCCAGATCCCCAGGCTGGGCCTTGGCCAGGATTTCAGCATGTTCTGCCACAGCCTTGCACCCCCCCAGACTTGCTGGGTGACTTCTCAGCCTCAGAGAAAAACCTGACCAGTTCATCCATCCTGAGCTGTCACATCGTCTTCACTGCCTCTCCTCGGCTCTGTTGCTTCTGCCTAATGCAAACACGAGTACACTGTCTGAAAGTAGGACTTGACCACTGCTCTCTTCAAAGTGGCCTCTGCCTCTAGATCTGATATGCTCCAGAATTTGCATTTAAAAAATAAACAAAAAGAGGTTGAGAGAAACAACTCAAAGCTAAGCAAAATAGGATTTCAGGCCTGGCGACCCTTAGTTTGAAAATTTACAAATGTCAGAGCAGGAAGAAGCCCTTCTGTAATCCAGTCTAATTCCAAAGTATTAAAGGGATGGCGGCCCCTCTATGCTCCGGCCCCCGGTCATCCCAAAAGGGCCAGCTCTGGCCCTATATTTCAGAGACACACTGAGTTTAACTTCTGAGGCTCTGCTTTCTGGAACCAATTGCTTTAGAGGAACTGGCCTTTGGATGGAACAGAAGGGGAGCAAAGATGGAGAATAACGTTGTAAAGGTGTTTCAGATCCTCCCCAGGGTTTGATAATCTCTGACCTTCTGTTCCTTCTTTCTCTTTCTCTCTCTTTCTCTCTCTCTTTCCCCCTCCCCCTTTCTCTCTCTTTCTCTACCGTTCTCTCTCCCCTCCCTCCCTCCTTCTTTTCTCTCTCTCTCTCTCTCTCTCTCTCTCTCTCTGTCTCTCTCTCTCTCTCCAGCAACCCTGTCCTCTCTGGAATAGCACTGACCTGGCTGTCTGGTAAGCAGCTGCTAGCTCACAGCAGCAGGAAGTGGTGGGCCAGGCAGGCAGGCGAGTGGGTGGGGTGGGGGCTCCAGACTCGTGTTGCAATCCTGGAGATTTGTGTGGTGTGACAGCACTGCCTGACCTGCTGTGTGACCCAGGGCCCTTCCTCCTGCACTATTACTGTTTCCTGGGACAATCCCGGGCCTGGATGCCAAAACCCAGAGCTCTCAGTGCCTGGAAAGGGTGACAGAGAAAGGTTTGCTCCTGCAGAAAGGCCTGCCTCTGCTGGGGGTATTGGAGGAGACCTGGGGAGTGAGGACAGGCCCAGGCTGTGGACTGAGGGCACAAGGAGAGCCCTCCTGCTGCTGTGTTGTGTTTCTTTGGAGGGAAGTTACTTAACCTCTCTCTGTTTCCTACTTCCCCTGCTCCTTTGCCTGTGAAATGGCCACATGGAGCTCTTCATGGAGTGGCCCTGGGCACTGGTGCCCGGCTACCAGTGGCAATTCCAGGTCAGGGGTCAAATCCTGGGGACCCTAGTATGTACTTTTTCCAGGTGGAAGGTGGCCAGCAAGCCTGAGGCAGGAGATGCAGAGCACAGCTAATTACTTGTGGCACACAGATGATCTGCTGGGGCAGGGGGCCACTGCCAGTGTGTACAAAGCCCGCAACAAGGTAGGAAGCAGCTGAGGTGGGGGCCTGCCCACCCCAGCCCTTGCCTTCCTCATGGCAGGCAGTAGCCCCACCAGCCTCCAGTGGGCATCAAGGTGTGTGTGGCTGGCAGGGAACCCAGGACAGGGACCCCACTCTGGGGAGGGAGGACCCATGAGTTGGGGCAGAAATGTGGAGAACTAAACAGGGCTGTTTGGGATGACAACCTCTGGCAGGCACAAGTTGGGACAAGAGAAGGATGATGACACAAAGCAGACATCCAGGGAGGGGACAGCAGGTGGACTCTAGGGAAAGCCGAGGTGGGACAGGACCTGTTGGGTTTGCCCAGCATTCACTGAGGCACTCATACTCAGGTGGTGGAAGCAGACCAGGCTCCTGTCCCAGCCCACTGCTCACGCCAGGGAGGGGCAGCTCCCCAGTACTTCTTACCTAGTGTGGCAGGAGTAGCAATAACCACATGCTGTCCCCTGCAGGAGAGCAGGTGTCTTCTCCCAGCCCTTCCCCTGAGTAGGGGAAGGAGCTGCTTCTCCCTCTGGGGTTGAGTTGCCAGTAGAGGCTAAATAGGGGCCTCCAGGGGAGGGTGACTGCTCCCCTGCAGGAGGGGACTGCATTATCCCCACGCCGCCCCTACCACCTCCCCACTGGCAGAAATCTGGGGAGCTGGTTGCTGTGAAAGTCTTCAACACGGCCAGCTACCTGCGGCCCCTCGAGGTGCAGGAGAGGGAGTTTGAGGTCCTGAGGAAGCTGAACCACCAGAACATCGTCAAGCTCTTTGCGGTGGAGGAGACGGTGGGTCCTGTGCGTGGTCATTGATTTTGTCCTTGCCCCTTGCAGTCTGAGGAGAGACTGGTCACGTGCTCATCCCAGGACAGACACAGCAAGGGAGTAAAGAATTCCAGGGGGTGGACACACATGGCAAAGTCAGAGGGCTTCCTGCAAATGGCGGCCTTGGGTTCCAGTGGGTGGGATCTATGTGAGGCAAGGAGGGAAGCTGTGACATAGAGAAGGGTGGTGTTGAGCTCTGGGTGGAGCCCCTGCTGATGGGTGGGGAGGAGAAGTGCCCTCCCCCCCAAGCCTCCCTCTGACCCGCCCGCAGGGGGGCCGGCAGAAGGTGCTGGTGATGGAGTACTGCTCCAGCGGGAGCCTGCTCAGCGTGCTGGAGAGCCCCGAGAATGCCTTCGGGCTGCCTGAGGACGAGTTCCTGGTGGTGCTGCGCTGTGTGGGTGAGCCCCACTGTGTTCCTGGGCCCCGGCCCTCAAATTAGGCAAAGCCCCAGAGGCATGTGACATTCTGAAAGAAACATCCCAACACATGGACATGAGGTCCTCCATTCACAGGACTGAGGGAGACAGATGGACAGGCAGAACCCACTTGTCTGATTCCTGCTAAACAGTCAGGTTAAAACAGCAATCTAAAAAGAAAGCTTAAAAAAGGTTGTGCTTACTGGGCTCACACTTGTAATCCTAGCCACTCAAGAAGCAGAGATCAGGAGGCTTGAGTTCAAAGCCAGCCTTGGCAAATAGTTCGCAAGACCCTATCTCAAAGAAAACGCTATCACATAAAAGGGCTGGTGGAGTGGCTCAAGGTGTAGGCCCTGAGTTCAAACCCCAGTACCACAAAAAAAAAAAAAATTGTATGCCCATGTTCAAGGGAACATTATTCACAACAGCCAATGTGTAAAATGATAAAATGTGACATACATGTAGAAGAATGTAATTCACACATTTTAACACATGCTGCAAGATGGATGAACTTGGAGGACATTAAACTAAGTGAAATAAGCCAGACATGAAAGGGCAAATACCATATGGTTCCATTCACTGGAGATTCTGAGAATCATCAAATCCCTAAAGACAGAAGGTAGAATGGGCTGGACTCATGCCTGTAATCCCCTAAGCACATGGGAGGCAGAGATCAGGAGGATAAGGGTTTGAGGCCAGCCTGGGCAAAAAGTTTGTGATACCTCATCTCAATTAATAAGTTAGGTAAGGTAATATGCACCTGTCATCCCAGCTGCACGAGAGGTGTAAATAGGAGGCTCAAAGTTCAGGCCAGCCTGGGCTACCAAAAAAAAAAAAGTCAAAATGGTAAATTTGGTCAGGTATACTTTACTCCAAATAAATAACTAATAAAAGGGGAGTGATAGGCCCTGGGTTTCTTAGAGAAGTCAGTCACATGAACTCCCTCCTCCTTTGCCCTGGGCCTGTCTGTCTCTGTTCTGCTTTTCCTGTGGCCCTGGTAGTCTGTGGGAACTCCCTATTGTCTGAACCCAAGGACAGCCTTCCTGCCAAGATAAACCTCAGACACTAGACCGTCCAGGCCAGAGTCACCTAGCAGCCCTCTATCTGTCCCCAGTGGCTGGCATGAACCACCTGCGGGAGAATGGCATCGTCCACCGTGACATCAAGCCAGGGAATATCATGCGTCTTGTGGGGGAGGAAGGACAGAGCATCTACAAGCTGACAGACTTCGGGGCTGCCCGGGAACTGGATGACGACGAGAAGTTCATCTCTGTGTACGGGACAGAGGAGTACCTGGTGAGCGACATGTTGGAGGCCTGCTGCTCGGTGCTGACCACAAGTGCCCCTTGCTTGTGCCTCCCTGAGAGCCCCCTGTAAGGGAGCTAGCCCATCCCCCTGCTTCTGTACCCCAACCAGAAGAATTCATTCTGTTCTTTAAGACCGAAACCAAAGGCTGCTGCAGCCTCCCCAGGCTGCCCTGTGCAGTTCACTCCTCCACCTGATCTTGGTGGGTGATGGGATGCGGGTGGACACCAACCTCCCCAGGATCGGGGATGAGGGTGGGGCAGAGGGAAATGCTCTGAGTTAGTGACTACAGTGCCCACTTTTTTTTTTTTTTTTTGCGGTACTGGGGTTTGAACTCAGGGCCTCACACTTGCTCTACCACTTGAGCCACTCTGCAGTCCTTTTTTGTGTTGGATATTTTTGAGATAGGGTCTCAAGAACTATTTGCCCGGGGCTGGCTTTGAACCTTGATCCTCCTGATCTCTGCCTCCTGAGTAGCTAGGATTACAGGTGTGTGAACCAACCACACCCTGCTGTGCCCACACTTTAGATGACAAAGCAGATGGATTCTGAATGGTCGTTTCCAGTGAAGGTCATGGCAGGGGTCTGATTCCATCCTGTGCCTTCCTGTTCCTCCATGGCTGTTTCTGGCTCTCTCCCACAGCACCCTGACATGTATGAGCGGGCGGTTCTTCGTAAGCCCCAGCAAAAGGCATTCGGGGTGGCTGTGGATCTCTGGAGCATTGGAGTGACCCTGTACCATGCAGCCACCGGAAGTCTGCCCTTTGTCCCCTTTGGTGGGCCACGACGCAACAAGGGGATCATGTACGATGGGAGTGGGAGGGACAAGCCCTGGGTTTTGTCTTACTCGATAGATACTGGCCCTTCCCCCACTGGGCCCTGTTATGTGTGTCTCCTGCCACCAGCCCCACCCAGGCTCCTTTTAGAGCCTGTGCTCATTTCTCAATCCAACCAGAGGCTGAACAGCCCCCACACTTGGTGGGGATGCTCATATGAGCTCCCTCACTCCCTGCTTGTATCTCCACTTGAGGCTCAGAGACTTGCTCAAGGTTGCAGAGTCTGCAGGGTGAGGGTGGGGCCAGTGCCCAGGTTCAAGATCTTCTGAGGGTTTCTAGCTGACTGATAAGGAAGGAGCTGGAGACAGTGGTAGCAACCCAGAGTGCACTGCCCAGAACAAAACAGATGTAAGGTACCATCGAAGCAAAACTCTGAAATACAAGGGTTTATGGAACTCTTACAGATGCTAGCCAGGAATGAAGAACCAGGTTCTGGGACAAGTTCCCACAACTTCCTGCAGCAGAGCCAGGTAGCAGATGGACCTGGAGCTCAGATACTGTTAAGAACTTTAGGGAAAGGAAGCAGAAGTTCACACTGAACCTCCGCTGGCTCTGTGTAACAGGGAAGGCTGTGGGGTAGAAGGGTAGGCCATAAGGAGGATTTGCTGCTTCTGGATTGGTTTTGGTTAGGAGTTTGAAATGTTTATATGGAAAAAGAGCATGACGGCCCTGGTGGTCAGCAGTGGTGATGTCTAGGCCAAGATTTCAACATAGATTGGGGTTATAATGCAGTCTTTTGTTGATGTCCTTGAAACTGTTAACTGATTAACTATTCTTTTTTGTTTGTTTTTTTGGCAGTACTGGAGCTTGAACTCAGGGCTTGCGCAAGCACTCTGCCATTTGAACCATGCCTCCAGCCCTTTTTGCTTTAGTTTACATTTCAGATAGGGTCTCGAATTTTTACTTGGGTTGACCTCAGATGGCAGTCCTCCTACCTATGCCTCCTGCATAGCCTGGATTACAGGCGTATGCCACCATCGTGCCTGGCTTGTTTGTTGAAGTAGTGTGGAAGCCACAGCACCCAGTTATGAATAACTTCCTATCTGTTCCCCTCTTCATTCACTGACTCCTGTCATTATATTTAAGACATGTCAGAATTTCTCGTTTATCACAGAAGGGTGGATGCATTCACTCTCAGCCTAAGATCCAAGCTGTGTGGAACCTATATCAAGTTTAGGGACCAGGGAAGGGGGACTGGCACAGATGGGGCCATCAGGGAAGGCTAGACTTTGAAGCAGGGAGAGGACATTGGGGCTGAGCTCAGCATGGCACAGGTGTGGGGCAGATGTACAGGAGGCAGAGGTAGTGGACAGAAGTTTGGCCTCTGCCCAACACAAGGAGCTCGACTGTGGGCTGCTGAGGGAAGACCAGCTCATGGGTGAGAGCCAGGACTCTCTGGTTTCATTTCCAGCCCACCTCAAAGTGACTGGGAAGCTAGAACCAGTGCTCTGCAATGTCCATTTGTTGTCACTTGATGTGTGATGGGCTGCAGTCCTGCTGACCTGAGACTGACCCACCCTAGGTACCGGATCACCACAGAGAAGCCAGCTGGGGCCATTGCAGGGGCTCAGAGGCGGGAAAACGGGCCTCTGGAGTGGAGCTACAGCCTCCCCATCACCTGCCCGCTGTCCACGTGAGTGAGTCTGGGCTGGGTGTCACTTCTCTCCACTGAGCAGAGACTTCTGTCCCCGCAGAGCCCCACACATGCTGCCACCTGGCTGCACAACTTTCCCCTTGTGGCCAGGGACTTTCCATTTGGATTCTGGAACAAGTTTTTCCAGCAATTCCTTCTCAACCCACCCTGCCCCCTCCCCTACTTCTGGAACAAGTGCAGCCCCAGCCCTAACAGTATCCATGCCCCCGGGACTGCAGGGGGCTGCAGAGCCAGCTGGTGCCCATCTTGGCCAACATCCTGGAGGTAGAGCAGGCCAAATGCTGGGGCTTCGACCAGTTCTTCGCCGAGACCAGTGACATCCTGCAGCGCGTCGTCGTCCATGTCTTCTCCTTGTCCCAGGCAGTCCTGCACCATGTCTACATCCACGCCCACAACACGTGAGTGGGGACCAGGGAGGGAAGACACAGGAACTGCTCTGCCCAAGCAGCAGTGTGTGTCCAAGGCAGCATCTCCATGCTGGGGGAGGGTACAAAGTTCCCGGGTCCAAACTTAGTCTGGAAAAGTACTAGGTTCACAAAGCTGGAGTTAAGCGGGAGTCCTTGCTTGTACTCCAGAGTTACCGTGCCCTTCACAGTGCTGACACGCGTTATAGAGTTGTGTGCTGTGATACATCTCCTCCAATCATTGCTCACAGCACCTTCTACTCCTGGGACACTAGGTTTGTTTGTTTTATGTAGCCTGGGCTGGCCTCAAACTAGCAATCCTCCTGCCTCAGCCTCCCAAGTGCTGGGATTACAGGTGTGAACTACCACGCCCAGCTTACTCCTGGAGTAAGGACCAGGAGAATTTATGGGACAAGGAGAATTTTAATGGGAGTATTGTAGCAACAGATGTGGAGTTTGGGTGTTGGACTCCTGGGTCCTATTCCCGCCCTATCTTCATTCACAACATAAACTATGCCCTTTGTCTCTCCATCTTTGAAAGAGAACCACACCCGACCCTTCCTCTGAAAAGCTGAGCCTTCTCCATGGGCAAAGTCTTAGCTGGGTTTGGTCCCCCAAGACAATGTCTGCCCTGTGGCCTGCTGACAGCTGATTTGCCTCCCTCCACTGTGTCTAGGATAGCCATCTTTCTGGAGGCCGTGTATGAACAGACCAAGGTGGCCCCCCAGCACCAGGAATACCTCTTTGAGGGTCACCTCTGTGTCCTTGAACCCAACCTCTCAGCACAGCACATCGCCCACACGACTGCCAGCAGCCCTCTGACCCTTTTCAGCATGGCCAATGAGACCCCCAAAGGCCTAGCCTTCAAGGACCGTGAGTAGGGTCACCCAGGCTGGATTTTTTTTTTTTTTGTCCTTGTGGCATTCTCCTTCAGGACAACAGGGGTTTACAATCCAGGACACTGACTGGTCTTCCTTGTGGATGTTTCTTGGGCACAGGGTACAGAGGAAGGTCTGAGTTCTAATTCTATGCACACCTCTAAGGTGCCATGTGACTTGTGCTAGTGCTTTGATCTTCCTGGGCTTCCCAGGATCCTCAGAGCTGTGACAGATGCTCCAGTTGAAACTGGAAGTTGGATTTCACATGCTCACCACAGTCTCTGTGGTTGGTGAGGACTCCTGGGGTAGTTTGTGTTGGTAGAAAACAACCAACAGAGGACGGAAGGGCAGGGGGTCAGGGGTCCAGAGCTGTGTCCTTTCTCCAATGGCTAGCAAAAATATTATTCCTTCCTGTTTCAGTGATGCTAATTTCATCCTTCTCTGAGATGAGGCAGGGGAGGGATTGACCTTGAAATTCATGGGCAAGAGGGTGGGTTTAAGTCCATCTACTGGCTGTTGAATTTGAGAGTGTAGTTCTCCAAAGTAGCCACGAGGTGGCAGTGAAGGACTTTAAAAGACCCATCTTGGTGCAGTCAATGTTTGGAAGATGGGGGGTTCTGGGTAAGTTGGGAAGCTTAGGGTGGGAGATAAGAAGTGAGTGGTGAGTGTGGGAACAAGGAAAGATGAGATCAGAGTTGATCCAATTCACAGTAGAGGCAGGCTCCTCAGATAAGGTCTGTTTGCAGCTGCTCTGGACATCCCCAAGTTCGTCCCCAAAGTGGACCTCCAGGCCGATTACAACACAGCTAAGGTGAGAGGCTGCCCCAGGTGGCAGAGAGGACTGTGACACAGGAGTAGGTGGTGTGGGCCTGACCCTGCCCATCTATATGTTGTAGGGAGTGCTGGGTGCTGGTTACCAGGCCCTGAGACTGGCACGGGCCCTGCTGGACGGGCAAGAGATGATGCTTCGGGGGCTGCACTGGGTTGTGTGAGTACCTGTGAGGGATGGGGCGGGCAAGACTCTTCCACACCATCCTGAGGCCATGTCCACACCCTGGGTATCGTTTGAGCCTGGTCCAGGCAGCTCTGACTCTGGCTCCCCCTGAGCAGAGAAGTACTCCAGACCTTGTGCCGGCGGACGCTGGAGGTGACAAGGACAGCCCTCCTCTTCCTCAGCAGCAGCCTGGGCACTGAGAGGTGGGTATCTGCCCAAGCCAGCTGGGACCCTTCTGCCTTTCTCCCCACCTGTTCCTTACCCTAGCCATGCACCTGTCCTTCTCCCACCCAGAGCTCCTGCCTTCCCTACCCTGCTAGACTAGATAGGGTGCTCTTAGCCTTCCCTTCACCCTCCCCACTGACCAAATGACTGCACATCCTTTCCTTCCAGCTCAGGCCCTTGCCTGGGACCCCTGGGGACACTGCCTCTCCAGGTACCAAGGTAGCCACCCTGTTCCAGAAAGGGGCCTCCATTTGCTAGGCTCTTTTATGAATGATTCGAAATGTTCATCTTGAGCTTGAGGAAGAATGCAGACCCACACACTGTCCCTGGACAGGGCCAGGGATGGAGGGCATCTGGTCTCATCCTCCTCAGCCCTGTTCCTGTGTCCTCTGGGTCTTACACTTGTCCTTGCCTTCTTCCAGTTCCCTGCCCCCATCTTTGGAACATACCTTCCATTCCTCATCTTGGGCTAAGTAGGGGTGATAGGATGGGGGAAAAAAAAAGAGGCTGGGGAGGAGGAAGCTGAAGGGTCCAGAGTTGAGGAACAAGGGAAGACCCCCTGGGCACAACCCCTGAATACTGGAAGGCTTGGGGCATGCCATGATGAGAGATGGGAGCTCTGTGGTCTGGGGAATTTGACAGTGGCTGGAGCCTTTCCCACCAGAAGCAGATGTACAGTGACAGACACTGTGGAATTTGCCTGAAGTTCCCTTCCTGCCATTGCTTGGCCTTGGTCTTGGGGAGCAGGGAGTTCCCAGTGTGGTTTAACTCACTGCAGCCTCATGTGTACCAGGGGCAGCAGCAGTGCTGAGAATGGGCCCATGGAGAGGAGTGTAAGGAAGAGCAGTGTCTCCTTGTGACAGGAATGGAGTCCCTGTCATTGCTGAGCCTCTTTCAAATGGTGACAGAGAGAGGTTCCTCAATATCACTGCTGGCAGATGTCTTGTGAGCAGAGCCCTGTCTAGGGCAGAGATCAGGGATCCAGGGAGAGATGTGACATAATGTCACACCCAGAGCAAGTGACCCTCCCAGGCATGTAAGGACTGGCAGGTGGCTGAGGAAGAGCACACTAGAGATGAGGAAGGGCACACTGGAGATGGCAAGGCAGCCATGGAGGTGTCCTGGAGGATGAGGCTTTTGGGGAGGAAGGAGGGAGGATAGCTGGGGTGGGAAGGTCAATGCAGAGACAGAAGAGGGCTGTGTTTAGGGGGATGGAAGGAGTGCTCTGCAGTTTGCTACACCCACAGTCACGATGGTAGATGTCCTGGAGTGAAGTCAGAGAAGGACTTAGGTGGGGTGGGGAGTGGAGAGGAGAGAGCTCAGAGGTCCTGGAGAGTCTAGTTAGAGAGAGGACGGTTCCTCATAAAATGACTGTTTGAGAGCCATCAGAGGTTTTCCATTTGGGAAGAGAGGTGTAGAGAAAGGTTTGGGGTGTCTGTCTGCCCCTTGCTCTAGCCTGAGACACACGTGGGGAAACCTAGTGTCCACTGGCTGCCATCTTCCTGCTCTGACTTGAAGCCTCCTCTGAGGCCTCGTGTGTCTGCAGAACCTTGGTCCTGCATGTCTCCTCCTCCACTCCAGGAGGAGATGAAGAGCAAGGAGCCAGAGGGCTTGGTGTGAGCTCTTCACCAGGCCATGGTCACCTTTCCCCTCCTGGACCTCTGTCCTCATTTTCAAAACGATCTCTGACACTCCCAACTCCGCTGTTTTGCAATCTCATTTTCTGAGTTTCCTGTAAAGGCCAAAGCCACTGCTTCTCTCACAGGGGAATTTGAAGCATCTTAATGAGCACAATGTCATATTTGGCATGGGCACAAAGTGACCCATCATTGCTCTGCCTGGTCACTCACCTCTCCTGCATTTTGCTCTTCCTACCTTGGGCTCCTCTAGGACGGCTCCCTTGGCAGAGCGGCCTGGTCTCTGCCCTGAAGCTCTTTGGCCCTCTTGGCAGGTGCTGCCAGCTAGAGGACTGTCTGGACAGCCAGGACTGACTCTGGGAATCCTAGCACATCCCCAAAAGTGTGTGTCATATGAATTTGTTCTCTCATCAAGCCCTTTGTCATGAAGGTCTGATTGGATCCCCAAGAATACATTATTAGGTAGCAGGATGGAAACTGTGTCCACATTTTATCCATAGAGAATCTAAGGCCAGGAGAGCTTAGGTGACTAAGCCAAGATCACACAAAAGGTGAGTGTGGCTGGCAGGACTAGGACTTGAGCTCAGGCCTCCTGATGCCCTGTCTGGTTGCAGTGGGTCAGCCTTACCCTCTTCTGCTATCAAATATTCCATGCCCTAAACTCATTGGATTCAAAAATTAGTTCAGCAATTATGTTTGGAGTATTTGCTGTGTGCTGAGCTCTTTACTCAGCCCTGGAGATATCGTGACAGGCAAAGAGACAGCATCCCTGCCTTCAGGGACCTTTTGGTTCCCTCCTCAGTCTCCTTACACACCTCCTCTTTCCTCCCCTGTCCTTCTCTTCCCCAGCCCAGACATATAGCATTCTCTTAAAGTTTCTATTGTAATTTTAACAGTACATTTTAATGTTAGAAAGTTAGAAAATACAAATAAGTGAATATAAGAAACTAAAAATACCACCTAGAGGTAGGTTATCATCCTTTTCTAGTTGATCTCTTTCTAGAGAGTTTTCTACTATCCCATGGCCAACACGGGTTATTCTGGATTTGCTGTTTATATCTCCCTCCAGGTCAATATATTTTCAACCCCTGTGGTACCTAGCCCTATTCAAATTTTTCTAATTATCCACCCCTTTTTTCCCCTGCAGCACTGGGGACTGAACTGTAGGTCTCACATTTGCCTTCTAGAACTTTTAGTTTGCTTTTCAGATAGGGTCTTGAGCTTTAGCCTGGGCTGTCCTCAAATCATTAGCCTCCTACTTCTGCTTCCCAAGAAGCTAGGATTATAGGCATGTACCCCCACATTTCCTTATACAGCTAGTTTTATCCAAACCAAGATCCAGCCCAAGACCATTCTTTGTTTCTGGTTGTTATGTTTCTCTAATCTAGCACAAGTCCCTACCACCACCACCACTTTTTATGCTACTGGCTTATAGGAGGGACCCAGTTCATTGTCCTGCCTTCTAGACTTGTCTAGAGTTTTCTCTTGATGTCTTTTATAGTTTTACTGGCTTGGAGGCACTCGATTTAAACATGTGACATAGATGATGCTTGGGACTTTGTATCAGCATCCCACAGGTAGTGACAGTCTAATTCCTCTACAGAGTAGATACGGTTTTCCTGCAAAAGAAAGAATCATGGTCTTCTTACTTTGTCACCATGCAAATGCCCACCCCTCAGTCATTCACTGTTGATTGCAATGCCATGCCCAAGGGAATCAGCAGGAGGCCAATGTTCCAAGTATTGTCACGTTAATTGCCTAATAGTGTACCCTTCCTTCATCAATGGAAAGAACTTCATTCTATTTAGTTGTAAATTTCCCTGGTAAGGGAACAATTTTCATAGATTTGAGATGTTTCAATCCACGTCAGCCTTTAGTCTTTGCAATGTCACAAACTTGGTGTGTAGGGACCTCTTCTAGTTGGTTCCTTTGTCCTAAATACAAAGACCCCAAGAGCCAACAAGTCTCCTTGTCATCATGGAGCTCTTTGTCTCCCTCCTCGCCTGCCTCCTTAGCCCTCCAAAGACGCCCCTCTACTTCCCTCCCTCAAGGTTCAGCCCCACAGCTGGGACATCTGAGATCCAGGAACTGAAGGGAGCTGCAGAGCTAAGGTCCAGGCTGCGGACTGTGAGTGAGCTGGGGGCAGGGACTTACCAAGGGCAGACTGGGGGACAGAGCCCTGAGCTGAGGACCTCTGGGGGGGTCTACCTTTTGGCCCCACAGTTGGCTGAGGTCCTCTCCAGATGTTCCCAAAATATCACAGACACCCAGATGAGCCTGAGCAACCTGAGCTCGGAGCTGATGAAGAACCGGGATCAGGTACATGAAGACAGAAGGTCCGTGGGATTTCCCTAATTTGAGGGGTAGGGGATTGGGAGGTATGCAGCTGGAAAAGTCCAGCAACCTCTTCAGGAGTCAGCTTGCTTTCCCTCTGTCATGGCAAGGTGCTGAGGTGTGGGGGAGGATTCAGGAATAAGCCAGAACATCCCAATACCAGTTAGAAGGAACAAAGGTTTTGGGACTTCCCCTCCTAGAGTTTGGAGAACCCGAGGGGAATCTTAGCAGGTACACCAGTTCTGCAGGAGAGAGGAGTTCTGTTCCTTTCTCTGTGCCAGGCATTTGGACAGGTCCTCTCACTTACAGCATCTTGAATAGTGCTGCTGGAGTGATGCCTGTTTATAAACAAGGAAGCCCACTCTGTGAGGTTAATTTGTACTGAGTTACAGCCAAGAAGTGACAAGTGACAGGCAGGGCTTCAGGTCAGATCAATCCACCTCCAAAACCTGTGTTCCTGGCAGGGATTTATAGACTTCTAAACCCCATCCTTCCTTTTCACCTAAAAATGCCATCTAGCCCAAAGTTTGATGTGTGTGGCGACACAGCCTGCCTTGCCCCATTCCGATAAGAGGTGCCCCGAGGGGAGCGTGGTACCCACAGCAATCAGGGTCCCTACAGATCCATGGTCCTATGTCTTCAGTTCTATATTCAAAGAGCTCTAACATGGTTTTTCTACACTGTTTTGGTTACAAAACCTGACCTAAGCTGACATAAGATTCTGTAGTCTATTTATCCCACCCCAGGTAAATATTCTTATGTTTCTCTGAAACATGAGAGTGCTGTCCCCTCACCCTGCTGGGGGGGCTCCACCATATACTGTGTGTATATTGAGTTACCTTTCTGGAATCAGAAGACAATTCTGAATTCATAACACACTTGGTCCTGAGCCTGTGGATCTGTGCTCATCCCAGCCACCTCATCCTCGTAAAAGGACAGACCCCCAGGGCTGGTGGAGCCCCAGGAACAAGCTTGTGCTCTGTCCATGTCTAGCTTCAGAAATAGCTGAAGTGGGTTTGCCCAGAGGCACTCTAGGGAGTCTGTGGAGCCAAACAGGCTGAGGATAAAAAAAAACACTCCCATCTCTCAAACAAAGTGCTTGTATCCAGCCTGAAAAGGAGAAGGAAGATGCAGTAATAGCCTTAATTCTAGGCTGAGAAGGCCATTGACAGGTCACCTCCCAATTCCCCTCTCTCCACACAGGACTGAGTACCACTGATTCATTCTTGTTTTAACCAGGATAGGATTGTTGATTCCTTATTTAGGTTCCTTGTCTCTCTCTCTCTCCCTCTCTCTTTCTCTCTCTCCCTCTCTCTCTCTCTCTCTCTCCCTCTCTCTTTCTCTTTCTTCCTGCTCCCCCCCTCCCTCCTCCCTCTGTGTGTGTGTGTATGTGTGTATGTGTGTGTGTGTGTGTGTGTGTGAGAGAGAGAGAGAGAGAGAGAGACTAAGAGTATGAACTTGAGAATGAGAAGGCTGGCTTACTCCAAGGTATCTCAAACTTAGAGACAGGACAGTCACTTTCCACTCCCAGATCACCTCCCCCAACATTATGGCAATGAGGCACCTGCTGCAGGGAGACAGCTCCTCCCCTCCTGCTTTATTCCCTTTACTCTGGTTCTTCCTTCTCCTACCTACAGCATCAAGCAGATTCAGTGTTGTTTGGACAAGATGTACCTCATCTACAAACAATTCAAGAAATCTAGGATGAAGCCAGGTGAGCCAGGGAGAGAGAAGTCCCCAATTCTCTCCCCTCCCTCCCTCTTCCTTTCTCCCTCCTGTTATTCATTCTCCTCCATCCAGCTGCTGGCTGGAGGCCCACCAAGTGGATGGGGCTAGTCTACTGGCAGGAGATTCCTTGCCTGCAGGCCAGTGAGGGACACAAAACCTTTACATCAGTATCTATTTTCATGTGAAAGGCTAAGATGACATGCATGGGGGACACAGTGGGCTATAGCCTGGGTGTTGTAGAAGAAGTGGTTCTGGAAAGGGACCCTTTGCTTTTGGCAGGATATTGGATAGGAAAGTTTTCCTAACTACTGTGTCTTTGGCAGAACTGAGATAGCCAGGTTTTCCAGAAAAGGGGATCAGGAGAAATTCCTGTTAGTTAACAGGCCGGGCCGGACAATTTGCCTCTGTTACCTACTAGCACTTGGAAGACCTGGGCGGGAGCAGCCCATTCAGAGGCTCATGGATGGGAACTTGCTTGCTGTGGTGAGGTGACTTTTATCATGGGCAAAGAGGGCTGTAATGGGGGTTGGGGAAGCCTGAGGAGCCCCAGTTAACTGGGGAGCTAACACACCAGGAGCCGATCCTCCCCCACCCCCCACCCAAGTACTTCCTAATCTGTAGGTGGAAAGCCTTTGGCTTTGATTGCCTGATGTGTTACCAGGGTTGTGGAATGGGAAGGCAGAGAGCAAACCTCGTGCGTCCCTTCATCTTGGGGCAGCCACCATTCAGGAGGCACATTCCTTAGAAGCCCAGCAGGGGGCAGCAGCTCCTCAGCACATGAGCAGCCTTCAGGAGGCAGCCAAGGCCAAGGCAGCAACACTTCAGCTCCTCTGGCGAAAGTGGCTGGGAAGAGAGGGAGGGTTAGAAGGTGGTGCCCTGGCTTCTCTGATTCAGTGCTGCAGAGCCCAGCTAGCTCTGCCTATTGTGTGACGCTCCAGGGATTGGGCCACAGGTCTCAGTCACTCTGGGAAGGTGATAGTTAACAAGCATCCTTCAGGGCCCATCTCCCCTACCACTTCTCCCCAGTGCATTCCCCAATTCCCCACCCCTACCCTGCCTGCAGGTTCATCTTCCTCTGGAGCCTTTTTGCAATTGCCCCAAGTCATCTCGATGACTTGGCCATAGTAACAATGTCATAGTGAGTTGTAATAAGTTACTCGGGTGTTCCTCCCTTTCTGACCTTCCTAGCTTCACTGGGCTGTGAGCATTCATGAAACACGACCCAGGCTGGGCTCTTCATCTTTGTAACTGCTCCCCAACCCTTGTGGCATTTTGCTTTGTTGACCGATTCAGTAGGTGACATCATTCCCATCTGTTTCCTACAGGACTTGGCTACAATCAAGAGCAAATTCACAAGCTGGATAAGTAAGTGGTCAGTGGGCAGGAGGGTAGGAGTCACAAGAGCATAGTGAGGCTCCGGCCAGACAGGAAGTGATGGAGGCCCCTGGTCCCCAGGTTGTAGCTGGGGGAAGGAGGATAAGTATATCTAGAGCAGGTTATCTGGGGGCAGGGGGGGACGCTGCTTAGCGGAGTCAGAGGGAGGCTTCTCAGAAGCAATCCTGATGTAACTGGACTTCTCTGGCATGGGCAAGGTTGTTTGTAGGATTCTTCCCTAATTGACCTCACTGATTTACTACTTCCCACTCCCAGCTTCTGGCCTTTGCCTAGTCCTGTCTTTGTGCTCCCCATGGCTTCTGTTTCCCGGCACCCTCATCTTCCAGGACACCCTCCCTGGTCCATACTCACTTCTCAAGTCTATACCCACTCACACCTTTCTATAACCGTGTGGCCTTACCTTCTCCCTGGGGACTAAGCTTGAGAGAAGGGAGTATTTGCTGAGAGCGCATTGACCTCCTCCCCACCTGCCTGGTGACATGTGTGGTTCACTGGCCTTTGGCCTTCATGATTTGAGTGTATCACCATTGTCTCCTCCTTCATCAGAGACAGGACCCTGCTGTGGGCCCAGAGTTGACATTTGTGGTGAGCAATAGTGGAGATGCTAGGTTTGTCCACAGATGGCTCTGACTGCTATCTCTGGGTGGTTTTGTCCTTCCAGGGTGAATTTCAGTCATTTAGCCAAGAGGCTCCTGCAGGTGTTCCAAGAGGAGTGTGTGCAGAAGTACCAGGCATCCTTGGTCACACACGGCAAGCGGATGAGGTAACAGTTGTCCCTTATGGACCCCAGCGCCTGGCTTGACTGACCTTTCCAGGCCTCAGGTAGACCAGGCAGTCTGCTGGCAATACTACAAATTTGGTTATTTGGTCCCACAATTTTTCCTCTACACAGTAGAGGGTCAGCACCTCATTTTACAGGTGAGGAAACAGGTTCTGAAAACTAATCTCTTCTCAATTTCACACAGCTAGTGAGTAGCCCACTGAAGACTGGTCCATTGGTAAATTTGACTCTACAGTCTGGATTCTTCCCGCTGTCCCAGTTGGTTGTGGTAGAACGCCCTGTATGAGGATGGGACCAGAACAAGCAGCCAAGTGGGCTAGAAAGCAGGGACAGGCAATGTCTACTGCCAAAACCCTCTCTCACACAGTTCCCTACAGGAGTTCAGGGCTCCCTTCTCAGGCAGGCTCCTCCTTCCCCTGCTGAAGAAACATGGGTCCCCCAAGAAGAGAAGGCACTTTCCCATGTGCTGTGTGGCCTGTGGGTTTGTCATGGGGCTGAGACTCAGGTGCCCTCTCACCCCTGTATTAGACTTCCAATGCCCAGATATTCCACTTCCATCCACCCCAATACTTATTTAATGATTCTGAGTGATCCTAATGTGTAGTCAGGATTGAGAACCAACTGTTGCTTTAATGGCTTTGGGCCTCAGTTTCCTCTGAGGGAAATGTCTCTGCTCATATTAGAGAAAAGCATTCACCAAATGCTCACCTTGACCTTGGTTTGTTCTGGAAATGGGAACATGGGCATTCCCCATTAAGTGCCCCAGTGTGGGCTGTTGTCTACCTCTCTGGAGCCTTACCTAGCTCTGTGCTCAGGCACCCGCACTTGTGACCAGACCCATTCACAAGCATGTCCATACTTCCCACTGTGGCTCTGTTGTGACTCCCTCCAGGCTCTGTCTGAAGTGTCCATCTGCAGTACGACAATGGGGCAGTAAAACGAACCACAGCTAGAAGGGCAGAGGTGGTAAGGGGGAGCAAATGTCTGGGAACCGCACCCAATGGTGTAGTGACCTGATGACAGCCAGCAGCCCTCAGGGGAAGTGAGCTGAATCCTGCTGTCGTTCTTATTCGTCACCTGCTGTCTCTAGGGAGGTGCATAAGACCAGGAACCACCTGCGCCTAGTTGGCTGCTCTGTGGCTGCTTGTAACACGGAAGCCCAGGGAGCCCAGGAGAGCCTGAGCAAGGTGGGAGATCTTCAGGGGCACTCCGGGCTGGCGGGGTGGGGGGAGTGGGGGGAGAGGGAGAGACATTCAAGTCAATCCCTGCTTCTGGGACCAAGTCCAAGCACTCTAATGTGGGTTGGACATCACTGATCTACAAATGTGCCCTGAGGAGGGGACGGAGAAAAACAGGACAGTATTTTCCAGTGATGTCAGACTGAAGGTCACCTCAAGGACAGCGGTCTGGGATCCTGAGACTTTGAGGTCCTGTGTAGCCACACATAAGCTGGCCCATTCCTTCTGATTAACATATGACTTTCCTTCAGATCCTTGACCAACTATCTTACCAGCTCCTTCAGGACAGAACAAAGGCGGCTCAGGCCTCCCCGACCTTGATGGATCCTCATCCCAGCCCTGCTCCAAAGGACCTGGCTCTCCAGTAAGTGCCAGAGGATGGAGTAGGTGAGGGGAGGGTTCTAAGGTTGGGGCCCAGTCCCTTTTTAAATTTTTTTTGGGGGGGGAGCTAGGGTTTGAACTCAGGGTTTCATGCTCACAAAGCAGGTGCTCTATGACCTGACCCACACCTCCAGTCCAAGGGGTCCAGTCCCTTTGCCTTACACCAGGCCTAGCCTTCCCCATGGGACTTTAGGGGAGGGGTCTGGGCAGTGTGCCTAAAGCCTCAGCCACCTCCTGCCTCTCCTTGGGCAGCATGCAGGAGCTCTGCGAGGAGATGAAGCTGCTGGCATTTGACCTCCAGGACAACAACCGTATCATCGAACGGTAAGGAGCAGCCCCTGTGGCCTCAGGAGATGCAGAGGCCCTGGGCCTGCCTGTGCAGAATCAATGGCACTTCTCTATTTCCTAAATAGTCACATCTGAGCTTAGGCCTTGTCCATAAGTGAGTGGCCATTCTGAAATCTTAGGTTTCACTTACAGTCTACGAGAACCTCAGTGATGTCAAAGATGAAGGCTCAGAGGCATGTGGACTGGCACCTGGGCCCAGTTCTGCATTGCTTGTAGACACTGTAGCCAAAGTGTCCCCAAAGAGCCTCCTGAAGTCCTATACCTGTCCTCAAAGTGAGTGCTGCTTGCATCCACATGTTCTGCCCCAGGAAACTGCTGCACACACTCTGGCTTCATTGCCTGAGACCCATATCTCTCCAGCTTCATGGGCTCTGTCCTCCTGTCCATCTCACACTGCCCAGGAAGCCAGGAAGACTTCAGTCCACCCTCTGAGTAGATCCCCTGCTGGGTGGGGAGGGACAACTGCACTGCTCAGGCTCTTGAATTTCTCATACCAGTAACAGTCACAAAAAGAAAACTGGAGAACGCAAGGATTGCCAACTGCTCGTATAACCAAGTAAGCATATTGACAGAGAAAAATGCTGCAGTATTGTTGTCCAAAGTAAAGATGATGCCTGGTTGCCCTGAAGGCCAGCAAGTCAACTTATACACATGTGTACCTGGGAACAGACCTCTGCATGCACCCTATCATCCCATGTCTGTCATTTCCCTATTTGGGGAGTATGGCCTGGCAGTAAGAAACAGCAGAGGTTCCAATAAGATCTGAACTCTAACTCTGCTCCCTACCAAATGCGTGACTCCAGGAAATTTGTTCAGCTCCAAGCTTCACTCTCTCCCCTGTGGGACAGGAATAATGATCTCTACCCTAGGTGTTTTCATGGGGATTAAACAAGATAATGTGTGAGGTACCTGGGGGTGGGAGTGGGGATCATGGAGGGAAGGACTCACTAAATGGTCATTGCTTTCCAGTCTGGGACACTAGAATTGGAGCCAGGAGATAGGGTGACCAGGAGTGAAGTTTGTGGGTTGTTCAGAGTGTAGGAAGGTCCTTGGGTGAGGACCTTCTAGGCCCCAGTCCCACAGGACGAGACTCCATCCCCAGGAGTAGCACAAAGAGTTGATCTGGCAGCTTCTTGAAGACTTTCCAAGCCAGCCTTCTTGGGCAGGAAGTTCTAATTTTGATGATAACATAAATTTTTCTTGCTATGATATGTAGTCTGTTTACAAATAGCTCAAAAGTTTATTTTAGTGAGTTTTCACTTCCTTATTCAGAGCTGTAGCCAAAGAACCCAATGGATCAATTTGAACTCCCCTCCTCCCAACTTTGTTACACATTGGAGTTACCAGAGAGCTTCTAAAAATGCTATGCCCAGAGACTCTGAGTTCTGGGGGATTTGATAAGCTCTCCATGTGATTCTTATAGGAAGTCTGAGATAAGAACTAGAGGGCTCTTGTCGGAGGAAAAGGACAATACAAGAGGGGAGCTGAGGGCTTGGATGGCTGTTCCTCAACATGGTGGTGCTAGGCTCCCACATGCAGTCTGCAGGCTTTCTCAACAGGCAGGTGAAGCTAACCTGTGCCTTTTGTTACAGGTTAAGTAGAGATTCATCATCCCCTGATGTCTGAGCTTCGTGTGGTGCACAAGGCATCTGGAAGCATGAGAATCATTCACGCTGTTCTGCACTGTGGGACCCAACCCAGGGTGAGATCTGGTCCCATCTCATCAGCCTACCTCCCTCCTGGCCACCAACTGGGAGATGTCAACAGCATTACCTGCCTCTGCTTGTCTCCTGGGGAAGCAGCACACCAGGACTGGGACACTGGCCATCTCCATCAGGACCCTAGGAGAGAGCACAGCAGCTGCTGCCTAGGTTGGCCTTAGTGTCTTATCCAGGCTCTGGGACTTTTCTTTGTTGCCCAGGTCAGAAGGGCTGAACCTGGCTGGGCTATAGGGAGAAGAGGCTCTGAAAGCCCCCACCCTCCTGCACTTTCCAGGGAAGAGCAGAGGCCTCCTGGGACTTCCCTGGGGTGTTGGGTCAAATGAACTAATCTGTCTTCCTTCCTCTTAAAGATTTCATATTGAACACAGCCCTCTCCCCTCTCCTGTGTTTCCTGAGGGTCACCACACTCAACCTCAGGCAACACAGAGCCTTGTCCTTCTGCTCTTGGTCTAGAAGTGCCCAAGGTTGAGAAAATGGGTGGTTGAAGCTAGGTCCTAGTGCGTTGGGGATCCTTCCTTGTGCTCTCTCCCTGAGATACCACCTGCTCCTCTGATGCAGCTGGCCAGCATCAATGGGTAACTATGCCAACTGGCCCAGGCCTGTAAGCCCAGATCCCTGAGGAGAAAACAGCTTGCACCTTCAAGAAATGGAATAAACATGGCATCTTTTCTATTTCCTCTCACTAGGCTGTGTCTGAGACTGTGAGGCAGGGAAGGCCCTCTGCTGGGCGTGCTTGGCAACCAGGCAGGGCTGGGCGGGGATCTCTGAGAAGTATTGGGAAATGGAGTAGACTGGTCATTTCCTGATTCCTGGCTTTTCCCTAAGTGGGCTCTCATTTTAGGGACAAGCCCAAAGAAGATGGTGTTGCTAGGAGGGCTTGCCTGGTCACTCCTTCCATTTTCCTACCCTTGTCCTTAGGGGAATTGTGTAAGAAGTATGGACTAAGGGAGAAAGAAGCTTTTTTTTTTTTTTTTTAAACCCCAAACCCACCATCTTAGTACCTATTCAACACCTAAAGTGTGTCCTAAATATTCGAGGACTGCTATGGGTTTTAAGCATTCCCTCATTTTATCTAGGGGTGGTGCTTAGGTAAGCGCATTTTGAGTTATGCAGAATACTTACAAATTAAGTCTTTCCCCGGAGATCCCTCTAGCCTTCCCTTATCCAGAACTGGACTAACCTGCACGGTGGAGGCAGGGGCAGGAGGAATGCAGGAAGGCAGCTCTGGGAAGCCCCACTATGTGCTTTGAGACCTGAAGATAACATTGTGCTTGACCCCAAACAATCCCCAGGATCCTTCCTGTCCCTCTTCATGGAGCCTCCCCATCTCTGGAGGCCACTCTCCTTAATGCCCTGGCAGAGCTGAGGAAGACAAAAAGACCAGAACCTGGAGGTTCTCCAGTGCTGGTTCTCCATGGAAAGACCTGCGTGCTCTGAACACCTGAGGGAGTTGCTGGAGGTTGGTTGGCGAATCAGGCCTAATGGCTTCGTGTTTGCTCTCTGGGCCTGAAATCCATGGAACCACTTAAAGCTATGGGTTCAATTCCAGGCCTCAAGACACAGCAACTATCTTGATGCCCTGGGCTCTAAGCAACCTCTGGACTGCCCTGCAGAAGTGAAGTTGAGGCTACTGCTTCCTGCTCAGCAGTGGCCCAACAAGGGAAGTACCACAGTGGACTTTCCCTGGCAACTCTGGCTGCTCTGGACCCAATGTATTTGGTGGGGCTCAGTGAAAGACCCAGGGGATCCCTGAGAGCCAAATGAAGATGACTGGGAGATGATATGATCCAAACTCTGATCTCATGAGCAAAGCCCACAAGGTGGGGGAAGGGAGGCATTCGTAAAGGCTTCAGTTGGCTCCAACACTGGGCAGAGCTGCTGACGTGGGTGCCTCCACTGATCTGAAGCTCTGAGAGCCTCTGGTTCCACTTCAGAAGGTCCTGAGGAAGTGAACCCATCAGTGCCCGTGACCTCAGGTGTCTGAAGACCCCTTAAACTTCCCCTCTGTCCCCTGTAGTGAGTTTTTAAAATGAAAAGAGCCCATTTCAGTTTGTGGGAACTGAGCACTACAGTATGCCAGGCCTCTTGCTGGGTTCTGAAGCTACAAAGGTAACAAAGAAACCTTGCCTGGCCTCAAAGAGCTCACCTCTGGGGGAAGACAGGCATGCCAAAAGAATTTCCTTGTCACCCAGTAGGTGTTATGATTGGAATTCACAGTTCACCTGTGGTATGAAGTCACTGTGATCATAAGGCAGGTCAGGTTGAGATAGTGTCAGAAACAACCCTGGAAGCAGGTGACTCCAGAGTGGCGTCTTAGTGAGTGAGAAGGAGATACCTACTAAGGTATGGAAGGTACTTGGCAGTGGGAACAGGGAATCACAGGCATGGATTGCTGCGTTCCTGGGTAGTAGGTTGGCATAGGAAGTTGGTTTTTGCAGAGAGGGAGGAGCCAGCTCAAAAAATTTGAACCACACTGAAGAACTTGGGCTTTGCCTCACCGAACCGAAGACCGATTTTAGGTCAAATCCAGCTCTTATTTAAAGCTATCACTCTTTGATGACTGTGCAGAGGGTGGAGATATGGGTAAGAACAGATTAGGTATGTCCATGAAGTGCCTAATGCACAATGTTAGTTTTCTGCACACCCTTCCCATGCCCCACCTCACTGGCTCTGAGGTCCTTTGCAGGGTGGCAGAGCAACAGATATTCTGGTCTCAGATGGGGTCACTGAGGGGCTCAGCTCCATTCACAACTACCTGGGAAGAGCCCTGATAGCATTCATGAGTAGCAGCCTCTTACAAGAGAATGGTTCATGTTGAAAGGGGCCTAACTGGAAGTGTGCAGGGCGTGTCCCAGCTCCCCAAGCAGGATGTACAGTCAGTTCTGGAGCGCCCTTACCTCTTTCCATCCCCTGGCTGCAGGGCTACACCTGTTTCTCTCTCACAGTCCATAGTTTACTCTTGGAGGCTAGTGTCCTAGTTCAAAACACAGATTCCGGGGCCCCACCCAGCTCCGGAATCTACTCGGTAAGGGTGCAACCCAGGAATGTGCATTGCTACGTGCTTCCTTGGTTATTCTACACAAGCTAAAGTTCCAGCACACTGAGGCAGAGTTTGCAAATGTTTGGCCAGCTAAGGACATATTAATGGCCTGGGATTGGGCTTCCTCCCAGCCCCTCCTTGACAGCTGAGGCCAGGGAAGGCAGATTAAGAACAGGATGGATCTCCACAATGGCCTGGACACCCTCCCTCTAGATCCACCATTTGCTTTCACTGGGCTGCCTTACTTCAGTAGCGGAAGCCTCAGAAGATCACAGCAACAGGCCATCTTAAACTACGTCAGTGATTTCTTTTTTAAAGTTTTTGGGGTTTTTTGTTTTTTTAGGCAAGGCCTTGCTATGTAGCCCAGGCTGGCCTGGAACTTGCAATCCTCCTGCCTCTGTCTCTGCCTCCCAATTACAGGCATGTTCCACCACACCCAGCTCAATGATTTTTTTAAGAGGCTGTAATTCCTGGCTTTTTTCCACTTCATTGCACAAAGGATCCTGGGTCAGACAAGCCCACTGGGAGGTGTTAAGGAACAGGCCAGGATGACCTGAACTACCTTTATTTTCCTGGGAAGCTCAGAATTACTGCACTTAGAGTATCAGATCCTTTTTCTGTACCCCTCACCAGATAGAAGGAGGAACCCCTCACCAGAGAGAGGGAAGAACAGGCAAGAGAAGAAACTGCAGTGGGTGAGGCAAGGAAAGAGAAGCAGGGAGGGAAGGAGGGAGGAGAGCTGAAGAGAGCTGGGGAGGGAATGGGAGAAGCAGGGTAGAAGAGGGAAAAGGAGAGAGAATGAGAGAGAAGCAGAAAGGAGAGCTACAAGACAGAGGAAGGGATAGGTGGGTGAGTGGGGATAGCCCATGAGGTCGTCCAGGCCACTCCGCTCCTGCTGGTCTGTCCTAACCTCAGTTCATGGCTTCCTGCCACTACGATGGACCCAGAGCTGGCTTAGCTCTGGAATGTAAGTGGCTGTGGCTTGCAGCCTCCCCTCTGGCTGAGGGATAAAAGCTGCTGACAAATCTGCTTGGAATATCTGAGTTTTTCCAACATGGAAAGAAAACACACACACACACATTGACACATGCACATACACAAACCAATTTTATCCTAAGCTTGGCAGTGGCTTGAGATGGAAAACTTCCATACTTGAGATGCAGATGGGGGCAGCACAGTGCCACTGGGAGAAAACAAGCCCCACCTACCCCCACCCTAGATGAAAACACTTTCCAGGAGGTGCACTTTCCATGCACCTCTTCCCACACCGATCTGCCCTTCTGGTTTCCAAGTATGTCAAAGACCTAGGAGAGTCCCTTGGGAGCACTGGCATTTGGTGGCATATAGAAGTCCATTTCTCCCTGAGTGGGGATGATGCTCAAACAGCCCTCTTCCTGGCCAGTTAGAAACTTCTGGATACTGCAGATCCGCTGCAGTGATCAGCACCTTGGAGGATGTACATGAGATTCAGATGGAGTTCCAACGCCACTGCTGCTCCTTCCCTCAAATGTCATAGAGAGGTCACATGATTTTTAACCATCCACCTCTGTGGTCCCATTTTCCAAGTGTGACCTGTGAGTCGTATTAAAGTCTCTTACAAAATACAGGCCAATAGCCAGACACCAGAAGGTAGGGTTTGGGGGACGGGTATTTTGAACAAACTCATGTTTATAGATTTTGCAGAAGTTTGGGAACTGTTGTACCTGCTGCTGGAATATTCCTTAGCCTGGAACACTCTTGTTCAGACAGATGCAGGGCTGACTCTATTCAGCTGGGTGTTTAAACATCTCAGTAAGGTCTCTACTGCCCACCCAATCTAATATACAAGTCCCTGTCACCTTCTAGCCCCTTAATGATGTTTGTCATATAGTACTTAAGACCTGACATACATGTTACACCTATGTTTGTTTGTTGTGTGGTTCTTCCACTAAAATGTAAGCTTCATGAACACATCCATCACATGTACTGTTAATGCCTAGAACAGCACCTGATACGCAGCAGATATTAGAGAAGTGCTTGCTAAAGAGATGAATTGCTGCTCTATCTCCTTGAGAACTGCAGTGGTCATTAGTGCTGATTGGCAACTCTTCCCAACTCTTTGCCGTTCTGAGCATGTGATAGGAGGTACATTTCTTGCACCTCTTGTGTAGGGTGGGCCATGAGGTATGGGTAGAAGTGACTAGGGCTTTTAAATGCCAGCGTTGGATCCTCCAGGCTCTCTTGATTTCCCTCTGGCATATAGAGTAGCCACGTTAGACACAGAGGCCATGCCATCTGCATGGGTCCTTGAGTGACTCTGATGAGCAGAGTGCCCCTGTCAACCTGCACAGGACATGTAATGTCAGAAAGAAGTCTCTATTGTTTAAAGCACTGGGATTTGGAGCCTGTTTGTTACTGCAGTGGAACCCAACCTGTCCTGACTGACACAGTAATCCTATGCAGACAATTGTACAGCTGTCAGCATCCCAGGAGTTTCCTAAAAGCTTTGGGGATTTCAGGCAAGTTCAAATGCCTCAAAGCCAAACAAAACCAAAAGCTTCCCCTTCGGAAAGTCAAGTCATGTTCTATCTGTCCCTTTTCCTTCCTACTAGGGGGCTTGGTGAGGGAGGTTGGGAGACAGCCTTAAGACAATTCACTCAGTAGGGAACCCAACACACCCTGGGACCACCTCTGATGTGACCTCACACACCGATCACACACTCAAATTCACTGTTGTAATCCTTCCCCGGGTCAAAAATAAAAGCAGCACACCCACTCTGCTGGGAGTGAGTCATGATCAGAAAAGAGTAGACAGCTCTGCACCAAGAGGGCCTGCTAAGGAGGAGAAAATTCCCAGTGGAGGTGTTTCAGCAGACACTGCAGTCTTACCCTTGTAGCCTGGATGGCCAAAGGCAAAGCCAAAAAATGTCTATGTTCAGGCATCAGCCACTACCCAGGCAATGTCTTGACAGATAGTGGAAACAGAGTTTTTAATGCTTCTTCTCTGGTGAGGAAGAATGATGTGTGTGTGTGTGTGTTGTGGGAGGGGACACGGTTTCAGGGAAGGAGGGGACTGCCCTGGGAAGATAGCATCTGAGGAGGTGACTCCCATTCAGAGAGCCTCCTGTTGGGGCGGAAGGAGCTACCTCCCCTGACCTCAATATCTTGGCTCAGAGAGATGACCTTAAGATGAACTTGATAAACTTTTTGGATTGGTTACATGAAGTCATATTATCTCTATTTTCATCTCTGTTTCCATCCTAGAAGCCAAATGTAGGGCTCTGGCCCAGCACCATCTCCTCCCCCGTCCAGTGCTGAGAGTGGCCTCCACCACTCCAACAAATCAGAGTTGCAGCAGGAAAACAAAACCCAGGGCATTGTTCTGTGCAGCTCCAACGGCTGGGGAAGGCTGCGTGCCTGATTGTTCCAGACAGCCTTGTCTCCCACAGTCAGCGCTGATGCCCATTCTTACGAGTCCTACATCCAGGGAATCTGGGCCAGGCTGGCTGAACAGTGCTTCAGGGCTTGGGGGTCGAAGGAAGAATAGACATGGGGATGGCTGGCAACTATTTCACAAATTGCATTGAAAACTGATCTTGCAATGATGTACTCTATCAGAATCCTGTTGCTTCTTGCCACACCAAACTGTCACCTAGAGCTCAATCTGGGTCCCTGCCTTGGATCTCACCCAGCACAGAGCAGTCATGAGAGGAGAGATCTCCAGATGCAAGTTTCAAGCCTTGCAGAGATGGATGGATAACAGAGGGTGGATACAAGAAAATATTTATATGCAATACAGGTTTCTGCAACAATTCTGACAACTGCTTGCAGAAAAAGTGGGAGCAATGGGAATAAGAGGCCACAAAGGCAAATTGTACTTTCTCTTTTACACATTCAGTAAGAAAAAGCAATGAGGAATAGCCCCTGCTGGTTTTTTCCAGTCAGGTCCAACTGAAGCTTGCCAGTCCTGGGGGCACTAAGAAGTCATTCCCGTATCACCATCTTAGCACTACAGCAGTGGTTCTCAAAGCAGATTCCTTGGACCAACAGCACCAGCACAACCTTGGAACTTGCTAAAAATGCAAAATCTCAAATCCCAGCCCCCAGTCTACTAATTCAGAAACTCTGTGGATGGGACCCGGTGATCTGTGACTGAACAGGCCCTCCAGGTGATTGTGTGGCCTGACAAGGTTTGAAGCCATTGATGTAAAGAAGGGGGGTTCGGAGAGGGAGGAGAAAAGGTGGAGGAGGAGTGGAGCAGACAGAGCCTGGTGTGGCTCACATTCCCCATCTCCACTTCTGTTTTGTAGCATGTGGTGCTGGCCCCCTGGAGGTCATTCTTCCCGTCTTCCCAGGAACCACCTCACCAGGTGAGACCCAGAGACCAGGAGCCTGTCCTCTGCTACAAATGTAGGAGACAGAGGACTTGGTGATTACCATCACTATGAGGGAGAAGCCATGGTACAAAGCAGGTTGGGAATTCTAGAAATTATAGGAATCACCTAAAAATTCCCTCCTAGGGGAAAACAAAAAAGCAAAAGTGAGGATTCCTCTATCAGACACTAGGGGGAGCCCCATCTCTGGGAAGAACCGGGAGAAATTCAGGTCCAGAGGAATTTAGACTACAGTTGGATCCTCCATGCCTGGTTCCAGCACACCCTCCCCATACTCAAATCTGAGGATGCTCAAGTCTCTTATATAAAATAGCATAGCATTTTACATTTAACCTGTGCACATCCTCCAAAATACTTCCAGCCATCTCTAGATTGCTTAAAACACCCAATATATGGTAAATGCTAAGCCAATTGTTGTTACGCTGTCTTAAACAATACAGAAATGATAAGAAAAATCTGCACATGTTCAGTATAGGCGCAGAATATTTTCTATCAATGGGTGGTTGAAACCTGGGATGGAGAACCCTTGGATATGAAGAGCTGACTCCTCAAAGTTGGTTGCTGGTGATCTCTGTTAATTAACCAAAGCAAATCTGTGTATTGAGAGGAAAGGTGTGACCACTGAGTCAGAGTGGTGGAACAGGAAGGTACCACAATAGCATCTACCTGTCTCCCCACTCCCAGTCCAATTTACGGTGAAGAAAGCTGAGGTTACAGACGGCCTAGGATATTGCTGGTCTGTGACAGGAACATAGGTTCAAAGATCCAGGAGTCCCGCTCTGCTTTTTTTCCTCACCCATGAGACGGGCTGTGTGCATGGGCAAAGGTCGGGACCCAGTTTAAAAACAAAATGTCTGACCCTTTGTTCAAAAATTAGGACTTTCAAGATGTGGTCATAGCACAGCCTTAAAACAGCAGGGGCGTGACTCAATCCTGGCCCTGTAGGCAAGAGATCTCTCTTCCGGTCCCAGAGATGAACCCTCCATTACCAGGTACAAGTAGTGCATTTGGGAAGAGGAGGGTTTGGGGCACTTCCGCAGTAGTTACTCCAGAGGCTAAGGGCTGAAAAGGGTTTGATCTGGGGAGAAATCTCCTCAACCCAGGTGGGCACGGGAGCGTTCTCATGACCACCATAACCCCAGTCTTCCAGGAAAAGAATATCCTACCGAGCAGAGGTGCTAAGGTAGGGAAAATCCAGCCACAGTGAAAGTCCCCCGCCGCTGCGAGGCCGGCTACGGAGGCGGCTTCCCGTGGTCAGCATCGAAAGCGTCCAGGATGCGCGCGTCCATCCGCGTCACGCGACTCAGTGCTGCGGCGGGACATTCCCACGCCGACCCACACCGGGCTCAGCCCGCCAGGGTGCTGCCAACAGCAGTGGGTGGAGGGACAGACAGGAGAAAGAGCACAACTCTCTTGGAGGCATGGACACCGGGAGGGTGACAGGTGGACCCCTGAATGGTGGACCATGCGTAGACCTCATCTTCAGCCAGTTCCAAAGCCCTTCCTTCCCACCTACTCCCTCACCTGGGCGCGTTAGGATACAGGAGGGGGATGGCTCTAATGTTGGGGAAGTGACAGGAGAGGAAAGAGGGCAGAGCTGGTGGCAAAGGGCCCTACAGAAACATGCGTTTTCTGAGTTGTGCTATGTGGAGCCTTACTCTGCCGAATCCTTAGCTGTCCCCAGTCCGCTCCCCGAAGGCGCCCCTAAATCCACACTCGATCAAGCCCGCCCACTGCCGACCCTACCCCTTGGTTTCCACGGGTGGCCCTTCCTGCCTCTCTGAAGTCTCCCCGCCCCCGCCCCGCCCTGCGGGATGCGGTTCCTTTAAAGGCGCGCTCGTCTGGGGCCGCCCCTTCTCCCGAGTGGCTCGGGACTCGCTTCGCCGCCTGGAGTCTCCGCCGGCAGCCGCCGCCACTAGCCGGGCATGGCCATGGCGTCTCCGGCTATCGGGCAGCGCCCCTACCCGCTACTCTTGGACCCCGAGCCGCCGCGTTATCTGCAGAGCCTGAGTGGCCCTGAGCCACCCGTGCTGCCACCACCCCCAGGCCGCTCTTCGCGCCGCTGCGTCCCCGCGTCCCTCTCCACTGCGCCCGGGGCGCACGAGGGGCGCGGCGCGCGGAAAGCTGCCCGGGGAGACTCCGAACCTCAGCCCCGGGCCTCTCGACCTGCTCGGCCTCTCCGGCCTGGTCTGCAGCAGAGACTGCGGCGGCGACCCGGAGCGCCCCGGCCCCGCGACGTGCGGAGCATCTTCGAGCAGCCGCAGGATCCCCGCGTCCCCGCCGAGCGGGGCGAGGGGCACTGCTTCATCGAATTGGCGCTGCGGGGCGGGCCCGGCTGGTGTGACCTGTGCGGACGCGAGGTGCTGCGGCAGGCGCTGCGCTGCGCCAGTGAGTGTGAGGCCGGCCAGGGAGGGGCGGGCGCGCCGCAAGACCGCAGTCCAGGGCGAAGGACTGCGAGGGGCAGGGGCAAGGGGAGAGGAGCCATTGCCCTCTGCGGCTCCAGGGGAGATCCGAACTTAAGGCATGTAACCCCTACCTGGTATCCTTTAGTGTGTGCTCACTGCCCAGGTATGGGTATGCGGTGTGTTTGACAAATACCTCTCATGACAGGTGCGTGCTTCAGCCCTATCCCCCGCACCCACATTCATGCACGCACGCTGCCAGGTTGGGATTGATGGCCAGCCTCAAGGTCATTCGGTTGTCTTCCATGCACCCTCTTGCTTTACCTGTAAGTTCTTGAGAATGGGTATTGAGCTGATACAGAGATGACAGTTTGACCCTTATGTATTAGAGTTAATGGGAAAATGGCTTGTTTGTCCGCATGTGGTACAAGCTCAGACCCCTCCTCCTGGGGACCTATTGGCAGAGGGAGGAGACCAAATTAGGCTTTGGATGGAAACAGGTTGTGAAGTTGAAAGAGCCCGAGGTCACCCTAGACCTGTGCCCCTTCCGCCTTCTACCTCTGGCCCCTCAAACCTTTGGACTCTGTGCCAGTGTTTGGCTGTGACCTGCCTCCTTCTAGGTTCTTGCACCCATCATCTTGCTCCAAAATGACCCAGCTCCCCTGCAGGGCCCCATCCTCCTCTGCGCTGTCAAGGCCCTCCAGTTGTCTCCTGAACCAAGCTCTTTTCGATTCTGTCTACAAACACTGGGCACCCAATTTTCTGAGCAAACCTGCAGTCTTCTTGGAATTTATTATCTTCTCCTCCTACAGTAAGGTGTATATTCCTTTAAGATGCATCCTCCCCCAACAATTTGCTGTTGCTGCTTTGGCACAGGATAGTCATACCCGTGTTTTTATGTATGTACTTTAAATATCCAAAGCACTAAGCACAGACAATGGCATAGCCTCTAAGAAGCATCTCTGGAAATGGATTGTGGTTTACATCTTTCAGCAAAGGCCCTCCGCCCACCACAGCAGCCCCACATCTCCCGGTGACTGCAGTACTGGACAGCAGCAACTCCGTCCCAGGTCCCTGTCAGGAAAGCCCTACCTTTCCTCCATGTGCAGTCTGCAGTTGCAGCAGTTTAGTGTGCCTCCCACTGTGACTGGCTGCCTGGAAGAAGAGCTCAGACTCTAAGCTAGGGTCAAGTGGGAGGGGACACTTGGAGGGAAAAGAAAGTAGGTGCTATTCTTCCCATCAGAACTCATAGTTCAGGTGCCCATGAAGAAGGAAAGAACAAAAGTTACAGAGATTTGTGTTGTGTCCTCATTGGTAAATACCTCTGACCTCAGAGAAGAATTGAGTGCAATTTTCCCTTGGGTATGTTGTCTGCTTTCACCCTTCCAGTGGTGCACCGCTAACCCTGCCACAGAGATGCAGTATTCTCCCTGGAGTGGGTTTTATTGTGCTCAAATTCCAGGAAATCTGCATTCCAGTTTGTATTTAGACTTTTAAAGACTATATCAGTTAATAATTGGATATTTTGCACAGTTTGTGATTTTTTGGTTCTAATATCAATGTATTTGTATGCATCTGTGTGGTACTCCATAATTAAGTGAAGAAAACTTCACATTTTGTGAGAATTGCTTATTTCCCCTGTTTACGCCGTACATAATTTCTAGTGACACAAGACCCAGGTGCACAGGCAGTATCTCTGATGTTGTTTGACTTTTGAAGTCCTTTCACTTTTCTTTTTCTTTTCAGTGCTGGGAATTGTAAATCTCTTTCACATCACATGTTAGACAAGTGCTCCCAGCCCTTTTGTTTTTATTTTAATTTTGCTTTTGATTTTGAACTAGGGGTTTGCTGTCTTTGCCTAGGCTGGCCTTAAATTCACAATCCCCATGTCTTCAATCCCAAGAAGCTGGGATTACAGTTGTGCACCACTACCACTGACTATGAAGTCCTTTCACTTTCTTGAGCTCTCCTATGGCCCGCTATATAGCTGGTTTAATACCAACCAGGGATGTCTGAACACCAGACAGAAAGCAGAACTGGGATCTAGGGGCTGCAGAGAGGAGTCTCTGTTTGTTGTCATTAATATTTAACTAATCGTGAGCCTGTGGCTGGCTGGGAAAAGTTGAGAAATGTTCTGGTGTGCAAGTTTGGCTGGCAGGCCGAACTCCCCAAGCATCTTGCTGTAGATTAAAGGTCTAATTCCAATCAGGGTTGGTTTATTTTATGTTCATTTGGAAAAGCAAGTGCCAGGAAGGGGACTTTTAAAATACTAGACTCCGATGAGAGCAGAGACCTGGCTTTAAGTCTCTCTTGGTCTGTGTGACTCTGTGCATCTCCGTGTTCCATTTCCTTGTTTTACAAAATGGACATAACAATCTTACCACCTTTATCAAGTTACTGTGAGAATTTAGTGGATTAATCCTGCATTGGTGCCCTTAGGGCAGTGCCTAGCAAAATGCAATATGAATGTTTGACTCAGTGTGAATGTTATTATTATCCCCTCCCATCCAAGTGCTGTAACAATTAGCCTGGGATCGTGACACCTTCTAGAATTGCTTTTCCAGCACAGTACAGTTTTCAAACTGCCTGGTTGCTGAGTTGGGTGGGAAGTGAGTGCTACAGGTATCCCAAGAAGTGTGGTATTGTGTCCTCTAGAAATGGCACCCCTGCCCAGTGCCCTTAGGTGGAAGCCTCTGTGGCCGAAGACCATTCAATAGATGGCTGAGCCTCTTCTGTGCCAGGCCTCATTCACAAAGTTCCATAAGCTCTTTATCTGTATATCACTTGTAGCCAGCAAGCGCCAGGCATGGTTTCAGTAAGTGGAGTTGAGGTGGCAACTTGTTAGAAACAGGCAGAAGGCAGTGGATATGTGTATGACATCTGTCTGTGCAGGAAGTGGACACTGGGTGGGAGCCATGTTGGCAAGTGGGCTTTTAGTAAAGGGACTTTGGAGAATTGTTTTTGCTCCATCTGCCTAACGGTGGGTTGAGTAAGCTTATCCCTACTTCAAAGACTGTAACTGAGCTCTGGATAATGTTGGATTTGCCAAGAGGAAAGTTCAGAGCTAATGCTAATTTTCAGGATTAGAGGAAATCATGTCTGTTAAATGGAGAAGGAAATCAAGTGGAGATTGGTGCGTGTATATGTATGTATGGAAAAGGGTTGCACAGCTGATGATTGCATATGTGTTTTGGGGTGGGGAGAGATGGTAATGGTAAGCATCCCATTCTGGCATTCCAGAAGTTGACTGTTCGGCCAACACCAAATTACCCAAGAAACTCACCAGCTTCCCTTTGGCTTTGTTCTCGGAGACTGTCCCATACAGGGCATGGACCTTTTCTTCTATAGAAGGCATAGAAGAGATGGTCTTGTACCATTCATCTCGTTTTTGGTGGGTTTGTAAGCCAGGGAATGGTCTGGCTGTTGGGATAACTCAAGTCCACTTACACACACAGGGAGGAGAGGCTCAGCTGTCCCTCACCTGTCACTAGTGAGTGTCTCATGTCTGTTCTTGGAGTTGGTCTTGCCAGAGAGGCAGTTACTCCGAACCATAACACATTAGGTGACCGGAATGATAGGGTAGGAAGGGTGGCCTTGGGGCTCATCACCCTAACCTGCCCGTCCTGTGATAAACTTTCACTATGGAGTGAGTACAAGGTGTTTGCCTTGGAGTCCTCAGGGAGAGGCACAATGACCTTTCTTACTGTGTGTGGACTGAGTATGGCTGATACCTCACAGGGCCCCTTGTTCATCCTCTCTAGTTCTTGTTGCTGGATTAATGACTGGGTTTCACTGGACTTTCTGCAGGAGTGGAACCAGTGGTGTGACAGCCATTAATCCTGCAGACCCATCTCTTTCCAAAAAAATGCTTCTGGGACATTGACATTGACCTTCCCTGAAGCAGAGTAAGATCTTTGTTGTGGGCATCTTGGAAAGGGTCCTTTGTTGTCCTGACAGCTCCTATATTTACCTTGGGCCACTTGGAAGGTGTTTGTTCAGTACACTCAGCCGTGCTGAAGTGTGTGGCTGGTGTTTTCCTTGGTTGAGACCCATGTTTGGCTCTGGATGCTGGGACTATATGCACTTGAAATGCAACATTTTGTTGTTAAAGATGGTGGCAATCCCCCATCCTCCATCCCTCCCCTCCTTCAGGGTCTAATCAGGGTCTTCTTGGGAAAGATCCTTTTGTAAGGTATCAGGGAACAGAGAAAAGACAATGGAATGCTTTCCAGAGGCTTCTGAGCCCCACCATCTGTACCCCCTGTTTTTCCTCTCTTTCCTGCTTCCTGTCTTCTCAAAAGATGAAAGTGAAAGGATTAAATGTGGGCTTAATTTCCCCCCCTATTCATCAGAGCATGAAATTTTCTGATTATGGAGTGTGGGGGGCTTGAATCCCAGGTACAGTCAAAAATGATTAATGCCACTTGTCTGCCAGCCTAATTAGACTTGGTAATGAACGTGTGTGTTCGCCTGCTGATCCTGCGGAGTTATTAGGTGGAAGTGAATTGACATCTCCCCTCGGCACTGAGGGTTCAGTCTGGAATTCTCTCTCTTTCCCCCAAGTTTGCTGTTGAATCTGCCTGTACCAAGCCTAGCAGGTAGGCAATGAGTGACAAGACAGCTCCAGCCCTGCCCCAAGGGCTCTGCATGGCTGGTAGAGTAAATTCGTCTTGTCAGGGAGCTGTCTCCCATCTGTGAAGCATGTGGATCAGGCTCAGGCCAGGCCTGGCCCAGGTCTGAGAATGAGCACAGGAAGAATTCTTTGAGTGTCAGTAGTGCCTTTGCTCTGAAGAGCCAAGTGCTTTATACTTGCTGCTATGTTCATCCTCACACTAGCTTCATGAGGTCAGAATGTAGGGATTCTTCTACCGAGCTCTCCCCTGTCCAGGACTTACCTGACTGCTTTTCAAGGGGCAGCAGTAAGGTGGAATCTCTTAGGTAGGGCTAATTCTGACAGGTCTGCGAGGCTTGGGACCTTCTTGGGCCCTCAGGTCATTCTCCACCTTTGGGCCCTGTGCCAGCACCTCTGTCAGAGGCAGCTACCTGGCATGGGTGGGTTCCCACTCCTGTACCCTAAGTGCTCTCTGGCTTCCCACCCCTAACTCAGTTTCTCCATGGAGGGCAGCTGCTTGCCACTCTTATCCTGCCCAGGGTATTATTAAGGCTGGTGAGGAACCTGTAAACATTCCTCTGACCTCATCAGAGGCCCTTCCTGTTCGCATTCCTGGGATGGCAAGGTGAGTGCTCTCCGGAGAGCGACTATAGTATTTGTGGGTGTGCAAAGCATATGAGCTCCCCGGCTCCAGCCATTCTGGTCCTTGGCTCAGTCAGCACCAGCCCCTGCTGATCCCTCTCCTTGAGCCTGCAAATCCTGACTTGTGCTGCTGCCTCCCAGGGAACCTCAGTCTCAGTCTCCACTCTTGGCCTCTGCTCTCTGGTCACCCGTCCCTTCTGTGGGGCTCTAATTCTGGCTCTGCCCTGGCTGGGCTGGGAAGTGCTGGTGGCAGCTGACTGCCCAGGGCAGCCCTGACTGTGGAGATGGTTTTGTATTTAGTCACTTTCATTTTTTTCCCTCAAGAGTTCTGGCAAACTTCTCTCCCCACGTTCTGGGCTGAAGATCAGGGGTGGGGAGGGTTGCATAGCCAGACTTTGGGCTTTGGGGAAAGAATGAAGAGGCTGAGGATGATGATGTCAGGCAGGGTAGAAGACTCAGTTCCCTGGGGGCACTGATTTAGTAGAATAAAATCAGTGCTGGGAATAGTTATGGGTACCCTGTCCTGAGGTCAGGCCTAACTTCCTCATACCACCTAGGGTGGTGATATTTGGGTTTTCTCTGAAGTACCCACACACCATGCTGAGGAGGCATGGGCAGAGCCTGGTGGACCCCAAGGCCTTCCATGGTCTTGATGGTCACTGATGGAAGTTGCCACACGTCCCTGCTGGGCCTGCTGCAGTCTGCTGTGGTTCCTGAAGTAGAGAGAGTTCATGAGAAATGCGACTATAGGGAACCCTATGAGGTTTGGATCTAAAGGTTTGCCTTTAGGAGAGGAAGAAGCACAGTGGTGTCCCTCCTGGCACCATGGTGTGTGCCCAGTGGAGAATGATCCATCTCGGCTGAGGGCTCTGGTGACCCCCAGAAGCTGAAGCAAGTTCAAGATTTTCTTTAGGATTTTCCTGCCCTCGCCCATTTGAGGACATGGGGGAAGCACCACATGGCATTGTGCTGACGGTTGTAAAAGGGTGGTATTCAGCGTTCCAGTCTGTTCATTACAGTCTGTCACTGGACATGTGGGCTGGTGGCCGAGTATGACCCTCACCTGTGACTGCAGAAGGCTGGATTGTGTTTATTCTTTAGTGGGGAACCCCTGCGTCACTTGTGCTCCCCTCCTGGTTTCTTGAACAA